ACCACCACCACCACCATTACTCATTTTGCACACAGCGCAATTCACTCTCTACTGTCGTCTGATTTCTCCCCTTCCCACTCCCCACCCGGCCCCAAGGTGGTGATGCTTAGTACCCGCCCACGGCTTTAGCCGCCCCGATAAGGTCACCGTTCGTCCTGGCACTTTTTGCTGCCAAAACTTTCAAGCGATCAGACAACCTGCAAATTTGAGTAGTGCTTAAATAACTTTAATTGCGCGACACTGCTGATAGTTTGGTCACCCCCACCTGAGGCGTCCTCAGACTCTGTGCTGTTCGAATTAGAGAGGCTAGAGGGATTTCGAACTTCGGCAACGGTAGGGTGAAGAACCTCAATTAGCTCTCCGTATACTCTGGATCGTCTCGTACGGAAACGGTAGTAACGGAGGCTTTACGTCGGACAGTAAGCTGACGAAATGCAGGAAAACACAGAAGACGGTCGGTGACAAAAACGATGCTTTCGGGTAAAATGATGTTTTTATGCAGATATAGTTTCCAGCTGGATGTTCCAAGGCGTTCCATCTTGAAAGAGTCCCTGACCATCGGAGAACTGAGTCCTCAGGCTCGAAAACATTTCTGTTTTACCTCAACTCATGCTCAGTTGATCTCCGGTTTTGCTTCCCTGCTCAAGGGTACAACTGCCAGTCATAAGTGCTAAACTAGGTTTCACAAGCACATACGTCAGCACACGCTCAGCAGTCACCTACAGCTAGTCGGGGTCATTCATCCTACCGTTGCCCGAGCTTCGACCTGCTTAAATGGATCACACGTTGCTTTTAACCTCTCTGTTTCCAAATTCCTCATCGCAAATGTCTTCCAGATCCATAGGAATTAAGAAGTAGTTTACTATCCCTATTATATGCCAGATAACATCACTGTGACGCCCACCGTCCTTGCTCAATGTGCTGTTACGTCAGGATTATTCAACTTCACCGCGAGCGGTTTCGGTAAACTTGCGGCCTGTTTGGCTGTAACGCGAGCATTCAGACAATTGGAGTCACTCTTACCTTGTATAATAAAACAAGCCACTCGGACATATGATACTCATACCAGCTTCACAAACCGCCGTTACAAGCACACACACGCACTCTCCCTCGGGCTCGACTTACCACCGTCAGAACACGCTCTGACCTAGCTAGAACTTACTGCCGGGCACAGCGACGCAGTTCTGCGCAGGATAAATTCCCCCCCCCCGTCCCCTCACCCCCTTCTGATACCTTTGGTCTTCTCCTGCTACTCGGGACTGATTCGATGATTTTGACGCTCAAAGCACACCCAAAAAACGAAATCTTCCACTATTGCGAATGTCTCTTCCAAATTCTGTGCTCTTGCCACTATGGAGGTGTTCCAGGTTCTTATTACGAAGAGGATGAACGGGCAATTACTAGGACAATATGGGCAACCTCAAATGACCAGTTTTTGTAGTTAGAAGAAGGGAGGGGGAGGGGGTTGTGTCCACGATATGGCTGAGTTCGTGCCGTATCACGGCGTCGTGAAGGCGTGCGTCCCTGGCTGGGAATCGGGTCGTACGTATAAGCCGCGTCAACAAAGGGCGTGATAGCACACTCAGCAGTACGATCAAAGAAGACACTCAACGGAGCGTGGATCTCTTCGCATGCGGCTGCGCCCACTTCGGACTGACCGTCAATCAACAGTCATCGACCGATGTATACAGTGTCCCTCGCATCGGCGTCAACGGTGCCCAAATGAAGGCTGAGGATAACTTCAACTACCTAGGCAGCACAGTGTCTGGCTGCATCAGAATCGACGACGAAGGAGCACATCGGATCTCCAAAGCATAAAAGCCTTCAGCCGGCTACAAAACTCCCTGCGGTGCCGTCTCGGCCTCCAACTGAATACCAAACTGAAGATGTACAGGACCGTCGTCCTGATTACAATTCTCTAAGGAGCGGAGATCAGGACGACTACTCCAGCAATGCCAGGAAACTCGACCACTAACATCTGAGCTTCCTTCGCATAATACTAAACCTGAGATGGCAAGATAGGGTCCCCGAAACAGAAGTCCCAAAACAGACCAGCATCCTTAGCATCCACGCCATTTTGGGGCAACTACAGCTACGCTGGAGCGGCCATCTCTGGAGGCTGAAGATAGACGTCTATCTCTCTATCAGAGACCTGGAAAGACCTCGCCCAGAACAGATCAGCCTGAAGAAGAGAATTAACAACAGGTGCAGCCATCCACAGAGCAAATCGAATCGCTGCCGCCAAAGCCCAGCGGGAGGCTCGCAGATCACAAGTGCCTCGCTGCCTCAATGTCAACCATTCTTCGCCTCCAAAATGCCCGCGATGCCGACGCGCATTCCGCGCACGAAACGGTCTCGCTGGACACTTTCGGACCCAATGCGCCATAAACTCGACGTCTTCCTCTTCTCCCACTCTCGCTCCTGTCGCAAACCCCGCGCCAACCTCCACCCCCGTCACTACCAATCATACTGCCGCTGTCCCAACCCCTGCATCGATTGCAGCGGTCAAGATCACCCCCAACACGACTTCACGAGCTCTTCCCACCGATAGACGGAGTCTGACGTCCCACCAACTTCAAACATTATCGATACTCCACCTCTGGCGATGTGGACTCTGTTCATACCTGTCCCCATTGCGATCACACATCCACCTCACACATCTACCTAGTCAGTCACTTGCGAATTCGTCACATGAAGACTGGCAACCCAGTGCCTGGAGCACCAACCTACACTCACCGCACATTCTGCACACCCACCATGCTCAGCTCAATCCACATCCCGCCGCCCAGCGCGCCAACCACCACCAGCTCCACCATCACTACCACCGAGTCTGATACTGACTCCGCCGACTTCTCATGTCCACACTGTCCCCGTACATCCGCCTCGCGCATCGGCCTGATTGATCACTTGCGAATCCACCGTACAGAGAATGGCAACCCAGTGCCTGGAGCACCAACCTACATTCGCCGCATGCGTCTCCACTCTTCACACTGCCCTCGCACATTCGTGCACCGCATGGGCCTATTAGATCACATGCGCTTCCACGATAACCTGCGGTAGCCAACCGCCGGCTGCACCACACCATCACATTCTCCATTACCAGCATCTCACGGCGCATCATCATCAACCGCCACAAGCACCCAAATATCACCACCCACGCAAGTGGGAAGCGTGCGTCTCGGCCCTTTTACCATGCAGCTCCCTTGCTGCATGTTTGATTGGAATCTGAGACGAAGACGGTGCGTCGAGCGCCGTGGCTCAGAAGGCAGCCCACTGACGCCCCAACTCAGTCCACTCCGTCTGCCCAGTTGTGTGTGTATATGTGCGGAGTGGCGGACTGGTGGGCTGAGAACAAGGCTGTCACGGCCCCTTCTTAAAGTGACCTCTGCACTCTCACGAATGTGTGTTACTTAATGGGCAGTGCCCTTCAGTCGCTGACTGACTGATTACCCAGCCTTTGAAGGGTGATGGTCCAGGCAATTGCAGGGCTGGGTGTCACACTTCTAGGCCATGATCAGAAAACCGTAGCCCTCGCAGTCTGGCTTGCACTGGCGGTTCTCTGGCTGTAGATCCGCCGTGCATGACTTCCCAGTCTCCTCTCCCTATAGACTAGTTCACGCGCAAGGTAGCATGCCTGCTTCACCTTTTTGTGGAGCATACGGTGGACATCGTCGGATGCGACGGTCGAACTACCATAGCAACGTGTCTGTGATTGATTTGATATCAGACACCAGGTCTCTATCGGCCACAACCCGATCTTATTGCTAGCTCGCGTCATTGTCCGCACGCTCGCGAAGTTAAATTTGTGCGTGACAATCAGAGACAGCGGGTCCTAGGGCAAATTATTCACCTTATAGATTATCACGGAATCACCAGAGCTATCCGTCTGCATCAAATCTAAGTTGGGCAGGGAAATATGAACCCCCGCATTACAGGTGGACCTACCCTAATCTCCAGGTTTAAGATTAGAGTCAGGATTGAAGTTAGGACAGGGAAATAGGTGCTCACTGCAATTTAGCGGGAGGCCAACTTTACCACATGGGGATGTCCACACACTCCGTGCCGACCCATCACGCCTTCCCGAAGAAGAAAACCGTTGAATCCTTGTTGTATCCAGCTGGTCAACGCTTGGAATTCTCCACGCCCTCCTCTCAAGTGCTTCCACATTTGGCCCCTGTTGACATTCCCCTTCCCCTTTTGTAACCTTTTTTGAGCGCGATCGGCGTTCTTTTAATTAACTAGTTT